AGGAATTGTCAAATGTTAGGCTGATCTTTTGTATGTTAATGATTTGATCTGGTGACACGCTGTGATCAGTTACCTACTTTTCAACAAACTCACGGAAACTGTCGACTCACTAAACCTAGATAGTCAGAAACAACTCTGTTCTGCTGGTGAAGTGCACAGCAAAGTGGAGACGCATGTAATGTAAATCCGGGATGACAGCTAGGCGGTTGAAGCGACAAACACAAAGATCATCCGCCAGCAATGTCATTTACATTCATTTCCCTGGCAACCACCTGGCACAACGTTCAAGGACCCATAAGGAGACTCATTCCTCCAGCTCTGGCGGACTCGCTTTCAGCCATTTCAGTATGAATTAAAATTTAACCCAACAGACAATAAGTGCGTAATTAAAAGAAAAAAAAACCCATATGAGTCATACCTGATTAAAAGTCCCAGAACTAGCAAAACTATACAAAAAAGTGTGATTTGTATTGCATATAATACTGTATGACTACCCGTCCTTTTCTTCTTTTGAAAGAAAAACGGAAGGTAATAAGTCAAGATATAATGTTAGGTAAAGGTTCTTCAGCCTAGAAATGTTTCCTAATGACTAATCAAAAACTGGTCCTGCAATAACGTGGCAATGATTCAACTTATCAGGTCACTGGGTACAAGTTCATCTTATTTAATGTCCAGGTTTTCTTTGTTTTATTTGCACCGGCACCGATCACTCTCACCTGATCAATCCACAGCTTTCCAACAATGATGTTGTGCACTGTGGTGGTAACCTTCTTCCATGTGTAGTGATTGTTGCTCTTCTCAAAGATGGCATGTATAGTGCCTGTGGGAGAAAACGCACACAACACAAAGAAAAACTGAATGTGCTAAAACAACAACTGGGTGATTGATAATACCTTGGAAAAACAAAACAAACAAAAAAAAACGGGCGTGTCAGAAACATTTTCCTAGCTATTATCAGCCTGCATAAAAAAACATTTTGTCCATTTGTTTGTGAAGGGTTTCTATGCTTTATTAACGCTGCAAAAATGCAGCGACTGAAACACACCCTGTGCTAACAAACACAAAAACTCCAGTCACGTGTTTGACTCGCATATCATTGCTTACCTAAAGGCATGATTGACAGATATTTGCCTCTGAACTTGCTTGCAACAGTAATCTCCTGCCTCAGAGTCCAGCCTCGGTCAGAGATTGCATGGTGTGCCGCCGCAGGAGGGTGGTGACTCACCTATGAAAAGAAAAAAATAAATAAATACATGCAACAAAAAAAATTTGCTGTGGGGCAATCGTCGGTGCCTGCTGTCTAACCCTGCTGGGATAAACCTACATCCAGTTCTTAAAAGAAATTCCTCTTAGGAAGATAATGACAACCACAAAACTGCACTAAAGAAACTCCCATGTGTACAAGTAAATATAAATCCAAACATTCATTTTCAATAAGATTAAAGGATTTGCACCTCCACTATTCTACTGCCTAAATGCAAATACACGAGCTCCGTCAGAGGTACCTCCCAATAACCCTTGCAGAGATCTATGGTTGTTAGATATCTGGCCTTCCCAATCCGCTCAACCATGTCATCGATGCGGGGGGCTGGATATGAATCAAATTGTGTTATTCCATTCAAATACCTGAAATCAATGCAGAACCGTAGGCTGCCGTCCTTCTTTGGCACCAAGACCACTGGGTGGCACCATTCACTTCTTGATGGTTCAATGATTCCGAGTGACAGCATCAGATCAACTTCCTCTTTCAGTGAAACCAACAGACGCTCAGGTATTCTGTAACTCAGTCTTCTCACAGAAGCTCCATCTTTTAATACAATGTCATGTTGGACAAGGTCCGTTTTACCAGGATTTCCCTGAAACATGTTTGGGGTGCACAGATTTCTCACCTGAGCCTGCTTTTCTTCCGAGAGGTGGTCCAGATCCAGCGATTGAGGTGAGGGCTTTGGCAGGTACTGGTTATCCTCCTCCTCTTCCTCTGTCACATCCTGAATAAGAAAAACATCTGCCTTTGGCTTCTCTACCCATTCTTTAAGCAGGTTGACATGGAGCACTCGGGTGGAACGGGGCTGATCTGGAATGGCAATCTTGTAGGTTGTTGGCCCCAGTTTGCTCTGGATTTCATACGGACCTTGCCATTTTGCCAACAGTTTACTCTCAGCACTAGGAAGAAGCACCAGCACTTTCTGACCAGGGCTGAAAGACCTCTGGCGAGCTGACTGGTCATACCAGTTTTTCTGATGTTTCTGTGCTTCTTCCTTATGAGCTTGGGCCAATGCCATCATCTTTTCCAGTCGTTCCCGCATCTGGACAACATAAGAGATAACATTTACAGCTTGAGATCTTTCCTTGTCACCCTCCCATGTCTCTCTTAACAGAGATAAGGGACCCCGGACTTCATAGCCATACAGCAATTCAAAGGGCAGTGTTGTGGTCAAGACCACCTAACCCGAGACCAAGACAAGACCAAGACCAGAGTGTATCAAGACCAAGACAAGACCAAGACTTTTAGGGTCCGAGACCAAGTCAAGACCAAGACCGAGGGAAGTTGAGACCGAGTCAAGACCAAGACCAGCGTCCCGCGCTACATGATACGATAAAATGTGACATATGATCAAAATTACTTCTCAAATTGATCTGAAAGATCCATATTCACATAAAAACACCTAGATATTAAATACTTAATAAATTTAACCAATATTAAAACAGGCGCAGTGCTACGATCAGCGGTGGTCTCGTCCCATCCCTAAAAAGATAACGCCCTGGGTGTTTGTCCATGTTGCTCATGTCAGAAACCACCACTGTCTGCACCATTAAACATAGCAATTGAGGCAATGCCCTGACGGTAAATAACACTCAACCATGAACACTGACCAAGGAGCAACAAGCAAGAAGTAACCAATCACAAGACGCTCACCGTGACTGTTCTCACCCTCTCTCCCACCACATGAAACCAGATAGTCTGACACCATGGCAGNATTCTCTTACTCACTCAGGCATGGGAAACAAGAGAGATGCCATTTAAATCAGAGACTCGGTAATGATTATTCTTATTATTATTATTATTATTATTATTATAATTAGTCAAAAATTGGCTTACTTAGTTACATCATCTACATTTGAGAGCAATTAAAGAACGATCTCTGAAAAGTGTTAAACACCTGGAACAGTCAAAAGTCTCGGAGGCTTACTGGTTGAGAACTACAGCAAAGAGCAACATCTAGTGGTCAGAGGTCTTAACAGCAGCCATTACAGCCAATCTACTTGTCTTGTTTGAGTGACAAGACGAATATTTCTCAATCATAACCATGTGGTTTCTTAAACGCTGTACTTTAGTTATATGAAACCAACACCTCCATCACACCATCAGGCTTTTGTTTCAATAGAGTAACAAGACATGATAAAAAAAAAGGTTTTAAAATAATCTCATTGTTCTGCAGTGTCTGTATTTTGATCACCGATTTGTTTTTTGGGCCATGTGAAAAATTTCCACCGCAGCTCAAAGTTTCGATGCGACCCTGATTAAGCAGATCTGAATTAGGGGAACGGATCATTACCCAGACACCCTGAGGAGGCAATTCAGCCATTAGCCTCAGGTCTGCTGGAGCTGAGAGGCATCATGGCCTCGTTTATCGTCTGATTAAACTGGCAAATAATTATCACTTGATAATTTCTAGATGTCAAGTTGACCCATTAATATGAAAAAGAAAAGCTAAAAATTATGACACACCGAACCTTGGATACCACATCAATCATCTCAGAATTTTTAGAACAATAGCTCATCAAAGCAGTGACAGAACTTGATCTTCCAGAAATTCCTTTTCATCTGCTCAGGCTGAGTAACGCGTTTTAGTTTTGTTTTTAAAATTCCCCATGGCAATATTAGAAACAGTGTGTGAGCAGCTAAATATTGAGATTTTCTTGTAGAAAAAAAAATAAGAAAAGAAAAGCACTTCACAATGAGCTTGGAAGAATAGGGAAAAGCGCCTCATGGCCACTGCTTAGTAAAATGAAAGATCTATCATGCTGTGGGCCTGTTTGTCTGCTAAAGGCCTTGGGGAACCTTGTGAAACAGCGCAGCATGTTAAAATGTCAGGAATACCAAAATGGTAAAAGTCACGAGATGTCAAGAGTAATGATCACCCTGGGGCCCAATTGTGTCTTAATTACAGATTTTACGGTCTACAAGTTACTCCAGATTTTAAGTCGCATCAGTCAAAAAATGCGTCACGAGGAGTAGAAAAACATATACAAGTTGAACTGGAGTGAGTCGCATTTACTTAGGGATTGTCAAATGTTAGGCTGATCTTTTGTATGTTAATGATTTGATCTGGTGACACGCTGTGATCAGTTACCTACTTTTCAACAAACTCACGGAAACTGTCGACTCACTAAACCTAGATAGTCAGAAACAACTCTGTTCTGCTGGTGAAGTGCACAGCAAAGTGGAGACGCATGTAATGTAAATCCGGGATGACAGCTAGGCGGTTGAAGCGACAAACACAAAGATCATCCGCCAGCAATGTCATTTACATTCATTTCCCTGGCAACCACCTGGCACAACGTTCAAGGACCCATAAGGAGACTCATTCCTCCAGCTCTGGCGGACTCGCTTTCAGCCATTTCAGTCTGAATTAAAATTTAACCCAACAGACAATAAGTGCGTAATTAAAAGAAAAAAAAAAAAACATATGAGTCATACCTGATTAAAAGTCCCAGAACTAGCAAAACTATACAAAAAAGTGTGATTTGTATTGCATATAATACTGTATGACTACCCGTCCTTTTCTTCTTTTGAAAGAAAAACGGAAGGTAATAAGTCAAGATATAATGTTAGGTAAAGGTTCTTCAGCCTAGAAATGTTTCCTAATGACTAATCAAAAACTGGTCCTGCAATAACGTGGCAATGATTCAACTTATCAGGTCACTGGGTACAAGTTCATCTTATTTAATGTCCAGGTTTTCTTTGTTTTATTTGCACCGGCACCGATCACTCTCACCTGATCAATCCACAGCTTTCCAACAATGATGTTGTGCACTGTGGTGGTAACCTTCTTCCATGTGTAGTGATTGTTGCTCTTCTCAAAGATGGCATGTATAGTGCCTGTGGGAGAAAACGCACACAACACAAAGAAAAACTGAATGTGCTAGAACAACAACTGGATGATTGATAATACCTTGGAAAAACAAAACAAACAAAAAAAAACGGGCGTGTCAGAAACATTTTCCTAGCTATTATCAGCCTGCATAAAAAACATTGTGTCCATTTGTTTGTGAAGGGTTTCTATGCTTTATTAATGCTGCAAAAATGCAGCGACTGAAACACACCCTGTGCTAACAAACACAAAAACTCCAGGCACGTGTTTGACTCGCATATCATCGCTTACCTAAAGGCATGATTGACAGATATTTGCCTCTGAACTTGCTTGCAACAGTAATCTCCTGCCTCAGAGTCCAGCCTCGGTCAGAGATTGCATGGTGTGCCGCCGCAGGAGGGTGGTGACTCACCTATGAAAAGAAAAAAATAAATAAATACATGCAACAAAAAAAATTTGCTGTGGGGCAATCGTCGGTGCCTGCTGCCTAACCCTGCTGGGATAAACCTACATCCAGTTCTTAAAAGAAATTCCTCTTAGGAAGATAATGACAACCACAAAACTGCACTAAAGAAACTCCCATGTGTACAAGTAAATATAAATCCAAACATTCATCTTCAATAAGATTAAAGGATTTGCACCTCCACTATTCTACTGCCTAAATGCAAATACACGAGCTTTAATCCTTAATTCTGTGCCAATCTGAAGAACATTTATCTTCCAGTCACGATATAAAGTTTCATTTACCGGACTATTTCATCTCCTCTCTCTTCCGTCTGTCATTATTTCCCCTGAATCAAATCCCTTCTTTCCTTCTGTGCTGTTCAGTACCTGCTCACAGAGCGAGCGGTAGCCGCTCTCTCTCCGGCGGTCCAGCTCGTACGTTTCCCCCAGCAGCGGGTTGAAGGGCTTCCCCGTGCGGTACACCGTCGTGGAGTAGGCGGATACGCAGAAGGCCGCAACGTAGCACATCTGCTCCAGGGAGCTGTGGCACTTGGCCGCCTTGTCCAGCAGCTCGTGATACTCGAGGTCCTCCGACAGCCGCTGCAGCATGGAGATCGGCTCGTTGAAGTTCACCTAGAAAGGAGGAACTTTTGCGCTTAGAGTCGTTTTAGGTGGGAAAAAAAAAAAAAAAACAGGAAATTTGATGCAATTAAAATGTTTGTTCTTTTAATTAATTCAATTTATTAAAAAGTGAAACCTTTGATTTTATGTAGATGTGATGAACAGAATGATGTAACTTCAAGTACAATAATGTCTATGACAAAAAAAAAAAGAGATTTTTAAATCCAGAAATGTTACATGATGGGATTAAGGAGAAGGGCGCTGATTTTAAAGTACTCCAAGAGATAAAGATGGTAAACCACAAATAATCATCACAAAAGAGCCTCTCATAGGTTAATTAAAAGTTTAGTGGATGGAAAAAGTGTGGTGGACAAAGAAGCAAGAGCAACAGGGAGGATTGTAAAGCCAAGCTGAGCTAACAAATTGAGGAAGATTCTCGACGCTAAATAAAAGAGCTTCACATTTTGAATTCAATCACTGATTATCAACACCGATCTTAATTCAGTCTGACGAGGCTCCAACCTGGATTTAATGTCCCTCTCAGTACAATTATTGCAACTCTTAACCTCTTTTTAAGAATATTAAAGTCCAGATTTGTGCTTAGTGTGTTTAGTCCATTCCATTCAGTCGCACAGTCACATGTCAATGTTACTCATTATGGAGTCAACAGGAAATAAAGAGCCATGTCACATGTATAAACCCAGGACAATATAACGTAAAGACGGCCGGCGTTTCGACGTCAAGCAGCGACTGGGAAAAATCTTTGCGTGCGAGTCAGGCCCAGCACCGACGCAGTGGGCAAGTTGACTTCCTCTGAATAAGCATAGCTCAATAACCTATTCTGCAGCAGATCAGTCAGCGGAACGTCGCTGCACCAGTTTGGCAGAAATGGGGAGGATCTGTGGACGGCTAAACTGGAATTTAACAAGTCAACTGTTGCCAAGACATGCAAGACGCCGGGCGGCGACTTTTGATCTGATTCGCTGAAATGTGTTATTTTAACAATACAAATGAAAGAACTAAAAGGTCACATTGCTGGTGGAATAAAGCGTCAGGGCGTTCTGTTTACGCCTACAGAAAGTTGTTTTGTAGCTCTAGCGTGTGTTTATGGATTAAATGAATATATATTAAGTTTATTCACTTCAGTTGTTTTTCTGTAAACTGTTGAGTATTTCTTTCTCCTGATAAAAAAAACAACTTTAAAACATAATATACTTGAACCAGTAGAAAATCAAAACAACGGGAAAAAAACTAACAAATCAACAAATAACAAAACTGAACAAAACAAAGCTTAAGTATAAACAAAGACAATTATAGATTTAAGTGACAACTTAATTATTTGGGGGGAAAAAATAACACAGTGCATATTAGAAGAATAAATAATGATAACCTTTGCTCTTCTTCTTCATTTAAACAGGAAATGTCCTAAGCAACTCAAGTCAGGGCTGGGTGATTATTTAATTTGATCAATTAATCAAATTTACTGTTTTTGAAGATAATTTGAAGATTTGATAGAAAAAAGAAAAAGAAAAATCAAGATTTTTTTCCACCAACTGCACTCCATATAACCCGCTCAAGAACTGCCATCTTATTTGACATGCATGTTTTGAAGCTCCTATTTATTTCGACTTTGAATTCACGTCAACTCACAGAAGGAATGACTGAAACATAAGCAAGTTTCAGATGTTTTCCATCATTTGTTTTTTTTCCCCCTCCAAGGAAAAACAGGAAGTAATAAAAATACATGTTTAAAATTGGAAATGAAATCTGACATAAAACAATTGGGAGATGTTATTTTTAAGAAATTTTTCCCCAGCTCTACTTTATGTTAATACTCAATAGCTAGATTATATTTCTTCACTTTTTAATTTTTTGTTAAATGAGGCTTAATGATTTCAGAAAGTCAGATTTAAATGATAAAGTGCAGATTATGCAAAATAAACGAACATCCTTTGAAAGGAGCGGCTCCAAATCCTTGATATGGGTATCAATTTATGATGCCAACAATTAAACGAAACCGACTTCCTCCTCTCTGTTTATACAGGAACCAACAGCACTACCAGGTGGTTTCCCTCTTTGCACTTCACAAGGAAAATGTTGCGACCGAGTATCACCTTTGTGGTTTTTCCTTTTAACTCTTAACAGCTGATTGAAGCCGTGCCAGAAACAGAAGTTCAGCTCCGACAGTTGCCGTGGTTACTCACAGGCATGGGGATCTTGGACAGATCTTTGCCGATGCAGTTCTTCATGATGCTCCAGAGGTTCAGAGAGTAGTTGGGCTTGTCGGGGATGCGTGTTCGCCTCTTTTTCAGCGGCACCAGGTCCTGAGAGGGCGACTCCTGGTTCATCGCGAGCGGCTCCTCGTTGAGCTAAAATATGCCAAATTAAAAGGTTTGAATATCTGTGTTGATGTCTCTGATCCGATTTGACTTTACATGGTGGCACAACGACACTAATCCAGGTGCATAAAGGAGCTGAAGTAGGACCTACCGACTGATCGTCTGCACACAAATCGGTGTTCAACCCGCTCGCGTTACTGCTTGAACGTCTGAAACGAAAGAGAGATTCTTTCAGCACAGTTTCTGACTACTTTACCACAGTAAGCCGTAAATAAAAACCACAATAAGTTAAATGGATTCTAAAGTAACAAACATTTTTCCTTTTATGCCAAATAGGGGAAAAAAAAAATAAATAGACTCAAACTATTAAACAACAACTTTCCTTAAGGTTTAACATTATTTTAATTGATGTCAGAAAAAATGTTTTGCCTTGTTTTAATGCAGCAACTAGAGAAACACTGATGCCCCACCCCAACATGTTGCTGGCAGAAAGAAGGCTGGTGAACTTTTTTCCTACTAATAAGATAAATACCATCACTAAGTTTTTTTATAATCAGTCTACCTATAATAGTTAATGTGTCCTTATATTTTAGCAAAAGTAAGAAACATTTGCTTTTCTGTTATTTAAATGCTGTCAGCCATTTTGTCATAAACATTTGTATGAATGCAGCAGCGCTTTATTTTTGCTTAGTCCGTCATACCATGAAATCTCATCTTCCCTGTCATACGGCAATTATGTTAACAAGCAGGAAAAACACAAAGAAGCCAGTATGCAAATGAGTAAATATGTGAAATGAATATATCGGCTCTTAAAGAGACAGTGACACTGACTTGTGGAACTGTGGGTCTGCAGGTACGGTTATAAACTCGGGGGCGTCCTCCATGGCATCAAAAAACTCGTTATCATCGTCCTCGTCGCTCGCCTCACCTTTTCCCGGCCCAGCACCACCTGAGAAGCAACAACAACAGGCTCGTTTCTGCTTTCACTTCACAAGTAAAGCCTGGTGGCCCGCCAGGCTTATAATACACTGTGGGGAAACCCTGCTCTGGCTTAAAAAAAAAAAAAAAAAACAAGTTCAAGAGGCTATGAGATGATTAGCAAGTTAGAGAAAAGCTCCGGTTCACATTAGAGCTTTACCTTTATTGTCCACGATGGCGTGAGCCTGCGCGGCCCCTCTGAACGCTCGCTCCAGGTGGTTGTGCTGCTTGGCCAGTTGCTCTAAGGCCTCCTCCAGCCGCACTCGCTGCTCTCGCTCAGCTTGCAAGGCTTTCTGCCACCGCTTGCTGTGAGTCTGGGCCAGGGCCAGGAAGTCCCTGCAGGCCTGCAGCCGCCAAGAACATGGACATACCAGGAGGGTTTTAATGTAAAAAAAAGAAAAAAAAAAGAAGAAGCAGAGATGAGGAGAAGTTCAGCAATAAGTAGGATCACTTTTGATCAAAACCAGGGCTGCAACTAACAATAATTCTAATGATTATTCTGACGATTAATCAGATAAAAGTGTGTACATTTTTCAATTAACCACTTAAGCCTTTTTAATATAATACTGGAAATGCATTAAAAAAAAACAAATACAAATGAATTCCTTTTCAAGGAGGAAATTGAAAATTTTACTGTCGATAATGTAACAACGTAGCATGTCTTTGGTACGGGTGATCATTTGTAGCAAAAGATGCATCTACAGATAAAAATCTACTTCTAACAACACGTGAAGAGCTCAGTCCTTTCTGACTCACTTAACAATGCAGTGTGGGACTAATCTGTTGACTTTTTTTTTATTAACTGATTAATAATTGGATAGCAAAAGGTGCTTTTTTAAAATTTTTTATTTTTTTTTATTTTACATAACTTGAACCAGTGAAAACGAAAACTGTCACTCCAGGACTTCAGGATAGAACATATTTAAAGACAAAGTCTTTTTTTCTTTAATCTTAAATGCAAAATGTTTATATTTTTAAACAGTTTTGGTTCCATTACTTCTCTTATTATGTTGTTCTTTCATCAAATCTTATTTTTTCAAAGTCCATGTACTCCGGGTAACGATTTAATGATTGCTAAATTAGTTGACGATCGTTTCAATAATCAATTCACCCCAATTAATTCGATTGATCATTTCAGTCTTTGTGAAACCCAAAGCAATTGTAAGAAAAACCAAGTTTGTATATAAAATGCAGTGACAATGTCTGTTGCGCAACTCAAAGATGGACATTGTAAATCTCTGCTGTCAGGTAATTGTTATTGCTATGACTCACTTTCACTGCCAGTTTCTATTTACAATAGAAACTGGCAGTGAATAGAAACAAACAGAACAAAGGAGGTGACACTTACGTTAATCATAGCGTTAGAGGTTATCCGGAACAGCGTGGCTCTTTCCGTCACCTGACGAATCTTATCCCCGGCCTCTCCGGTCAGCCGTAAACTGTCCAGCTCAGATAAAGACCTGAAATACGACGAGGTCAAGAAAGATTTGCGAAATCCTGTATTTTATTTGACATTTAAGGCTGTGGAATGCTGCTCAGTCAGGAGTAGAACCGGACAAACAAGCCAGACGGTCTGTGAGAGAGAGAGAGAGAGAGAGAGAGAGAGTTTCCTCCGGTGCGATGAGCTGCGTTAGACTGACCTCTGCAGGGCAGAGCCGTGCTTGGAGATCAGATCGTTGCAGGTGCTGAGATCCTCCACCTTACTGCCCAGCGTTCGGAGAGTGGACTGGACCTCCGAGTTCTGAGAGCCCCCACCCTGACCTCCGCCCCCGGGCAGGGACGACGGGGAGAAGTCGTCGCCGGAGTCATCTGTTCACAATTAGAGCAAGAGGAACAAATACTAGATGAAAATGTGTTAAGAATGTAGCTATATAAGGGCAACTTTAAAGGAAAAGAAACTGAATATCTTTACTTGGGTGAAGTTCAGTGGTTGTTCAATGATTGTTATAAAGACAAAGTTTGAGAATTTACAAGAAAAATGTTTTTTGTTTGTGAGGGTCACCAAGGAGAGCTATAACCCCTGGAAGACATTTATTAAAGGGTAAAAGCTCGTCACAGATCACAGTCTCAACAGTTTTAAAGTTATTTTAATAACTAGCACAAATAAACGCACTTTTTGTTCGACTTGAAGGGACCTGGTCGATCTGTTATGACTACTCTTAAACTCATATTTATATCTTTAAAGTGATGAGGTACAGATTTTCTGTTTGACGTCATTTAAATATCGTAAGGGGGGGATCTTCACTTGGAATAATAACTATATTTATCATATTTATCATATGACTTTTAATTTTTACACGTTATTGCAACAGGATTCATAACATTTTGATATTATTTTTTATGCTTAGCCACAAACTTCAACGTATTTTGCAGTAATTTTATGTGAAAGACACACATGGTAATGGATAATTGTAAAGTGTAGAGAAATTGATTCATGATCTTTAACATTTATCACATTAAAAAAAATCTAATATGTTGTGTATTCAGTCCTCTTTACTGATGCTCCTAAACATTCGTGCCCAAACGGAAAAAAAGAGAACCCAAGTAATTTATCATTTCTTTGACGTAGAAAAAAATTACTTGTAAAGAGCTGAACTTTCTGACATAGAAACGGTGCAATCGACAAGACGTACGCATGAAGTTAAGTCACTCTAAAAGGGCAGCCGTGTGTGTAAACGCATCACCATTTACTGTGCGGTTATTTGTTTTAAAGCTGTCATAAAAGCCGCATGTACTTTTGAAACGCGGTTCTACAAAATATATATTTGGCTCAAACTTTCAGATTCATCAGACCATCCCATATTCTCTCACCGGGCCACGATGCCTCGTTTTCTGCCTCACAACACAAGACGCTAAGAAGTGCTGGTGTGAGCCTCAGTTAAACTCTGAGGAACCTGCATCACTTCAAAAGACTGAAAGAGTTTGTTGTTGTATCGAATGCGTTTGCTATTGAGAGCCACTATTAACATGGTAACACCAGGAGGATTCACCAGATTAAGAGTTTAAAATCGGCTGAATTGCCAAAGCCGTCTATCCCTCGCACTAAATCCAGACGATCTGATCTGGGAACACACAGACGGGCCGATGTAAACTGCTTAATTAATATTAAAACTTGTCATATTTGCAAGATGAAAGTCGCCCTCGTATCATGAGGGCGACTTGATATGATTTTCACCACATCAAATATTTTTTTCTGGCCTGGATAAAAATGCATTTTTGACCTACCTGACTCGGCTTGCATGCGGGCGGCCTTGGCTTTGGCCAGCTCCAGCGCAGTGATCCACCGCTGGCGCTCCACCTCGGAGCTGGCCTTCAGGTGATACGTCTGAGCCCCGCCGTTAGAGATGACGAAGTTGCAGGCGTCGTCTACGGAGATGACCGCTGTGGCCAAGTTGATTGTGCCCCGACACGTGTGACCCATCTCAGCCTGGGTCCTAATGATTTAAGAAAAAAAAAACAAAACAAAAAAAAACAACATAAATCCTAATTTGGATTTTAGACAAAAAAAATGCAACAACTATCATTTCAAACTCTAAGTCTGATATGATCAGACCTCAATTCAGATTTATGAGCTGTAATTGTTAGATATTAGAGGAGACGTTAAATCAGAACGGTAAATATGACAGAAAAAAAAAAAAATAGGTGAATCAGTGAGGATGTAATAAGTAAGAAATTAGGCTATATTGACACAGCAGGTCTTGATGCTCGATTCCAATTTTTGCTGAAATCTGATTTTCTGTTTTTACTCGGTTGTTCTGAATGATGTGACCACAGTCAGACTCGCGTTAACAAACGAGCCACACAGCGCATGCACAGAAGAACGTAGGCGCCACTCAGCGGTGCATCGTTTTGCAGAAGTAATAATGGATGTCGACATCTGTGGATCAATTTTTAAAGTTATGCAGCAACGGGAGCCGACGGTATTGTCACAAAATCGTAAAACATGAAGGAAGCTTTAAAAAAAAAAAAAAAAGGAAGCATAACTAATAACAACGACCTTTTATAGAGCATTGACTGCAACTGTTTGAATGCGCAGTTGGACCAGAAGTGGCAGGATTGTTAAGTGATGACTTCTTTCACAAGTTCATCGTTTTGGTTTTCAGCTTTACCACATCTGGCTTCTTCTGCTGCAGAATTATGGAAGCGGCCCACATTGAGCTTTTCGGAGGATGAAAATATTGGAAAAGGTCGGACACGGGTTTCATCTGCCCGCTGTGTGAACGTGGCCTAAGATGGCCGATGTTTTTCCTGACATGCTTTCTGCAAGGAAGCCTCACCTGTAGTATGACAGCAGGCCGTTGCTCAGAACGAACCACCTTCGCTGATAACCCTTGATGTAGTTTGTCCACTTGAAGACCCATCCTTTGTACGTGTCGCCGGCCGGGGTGGGAGTAGGGCTCTTCGGTTCTGACATCACACCCCCCCCGAAATCAGGTTTCAGATTTAAAATAGACCTTGAAAAGGAAGATGTCCAAAAAGTTAAAAAAATAAATAAATAAAAACAAAATAAATTACCATCCTAAGATTCAAAATTTTCAACAGCAGTAACAGCAGCCAAGACGAGCGATTTGCTCTTAAAGAACATTTTCTTTCTCTGGAAGATTAACATGGTTTAACAGCCATTATAGGTCTGTATGGGAGTAAGTTACGTGCTGACTGGGACTTTTTTTTTCTTTTTCCCCCTCTTAGTAGTAGTCACATTTTGTCATCCACATAGTGCAGATGTGTGCATGTTTCACTTCTCTGTTTTTGGGATCAGGACAGACGGGTCAACAACCTCTCCATGCGAGCAAAATTAAAGTAACTCATTTTTTAGAATCTACTTTTCAAAAATGTTGGCACAGCTCAATTCATCTCCTAGCCATCCTGCTTGTGTCACAGCTCTCTATAGATGTTTCTGATCAAATATGCACCTTCTTTGACAGCTGATGATTTAAAGGAAATAAAAATATCTACGTACATGATGTCTCTTAGAGTCATTTTATCTAGATCAAAGGTCCTAACTTCTCATATTTCATAGAGGTCGGCTGGTCCACAAAACCACCAGGGCCCAAAATAAATGTCAAAATATGTTGTAACATAAATACAAACATGTGGAGCACATTACACATTTTCCAACTGCCAAAAAAAAAAAAAAAAAAAAGACAATTTGTCTTGTACAGGGTGCACGCTGAAATTGTTTTTAGGTGGGTTTTATTCTTAACGCACTGTAACAGTGCATATTTGAAAGAGGTTGGTGATTATCAATGATGCTGAAATAATAATAATAATAATAATAATAATAAAGAAGCTTTAATTCACTAGAAATATTTTGTAGTTTATCCAAACAACAGAAAAGACTTATTTTGCCATCAAAAGAAAATGACCACAAAATATCTTATCTGTGCATTTCTGAATATACTCCTCAATATTAAAGCAAACACAAGAAAACAATATTTTTATTATCATTTAAATGCATAAATAATCAAAACACTTAACCAGAACAATAAATGCATATGCAATGTTTAAGTGCATGAGTGTAGTGGGTTTGTTTGAGTGACGAACTGAAACAGAGTTTTGATTGGAATTGCAAATAGTGCATCCAAAATGCAAATTTCTCTTAAGTAAAATTTGTCTAATTGGTTTTAATACATGACATTCAACAGGGAGGTGGATATTTTCATTCCAGGTGGCAGTTTATGAATGCACTTTCCTTATTTATCAAACATGCCATCAACTTGTTGTTGAGAAAACGTTCTACTTTTGTTATAAACCATTTTAGCTCTTATTCCAGTCTTGATTACAAACTAAAATATCTTTGTTTTTCTTTTCTGTTCCTGGTTGCTTTCGTTGATCTTTGAATGTAGTATCACAGGTCAAAGGTCAACTAATGAATCAATACACGTTCACGTTTGACCATTCTTACTCAAAAATGTAGTACTGAATTCAAGAGCACTTACTAATTAGCAAAAAAATAAATAAAAAATCTAGCTTATAAATTAAATGAAGCCTGCCATTGATTTGTTTTGAATTATATAAATGATCTACGGCTCATTGTGCGATTTTAAAACTGAATATTGCTAAATTTTAAGTCAAAATATAACAAATGCTAAGCTGGTGAAGGTCCATCGCCAACGAAAAGAAGTAAATGAACAGTGACACCACACTTTCGATGAAGTTGTTCAAGCAGAAACGAGCCTGACCTGCAGGAGCTAGCCTGTCCTGACAGAAGATAAAAACTTTAAAATCTGCGCCGATGTCCGCTCACAGCTAACAAGAGCTAAAGTCGGGAAACAACCTGACATCTTTGATCATGGTTCACCTGCTGACATTTAAACAATGCAGGCGAAATACAACGCAGGATATTAATTTGCTCAAAGAGTAGCTAGCTCTGAAATTCGCTGGCGGCTGAATGTTTACCTTGACGTGTCCAAAATGCCAGATGAGGAAACCAGACAGGCAGTGAAGTCACTGCTAGCTCTGACGCCCCATACGCTGCCAGGCTAGCCGAGCTAACTCAGGCTAATACGACTCGGCTAAAGCTGGAAATAATTCAGCGGACGTTGACGACGACAACGGTGTCACTTTCAGTAAATTGGCCTATGAAATGTAATCGTTGTCCTTCAGTAGCACTGTTTATAATGTTCACCGTACTACTGCGTACGATGATAATAATCTAAAGCTAGCTGGCTACATCTAACTAGCCTAACATTAGCTTGTAGGAGACAGCTGGTGCAACTTCATTGAAGCCCGTGTGGAAACGCTGCTACTTTCCCTCAAATTATCTCAATCACACAAGTTAATTTATGTAGGTAACTGACGTTTTTATAATGCATTATGATAATACATGTTACATTAAGCCACATATATGAGGTCCCGTTAAAGTTTGAGTTTCTTTTCGGATTCTGTCACAAATACATTTTCAGCTTATTTCAAATTTTGTTTCACAAAACTCCCCAACTACTGAGCGGTAGCATTGGTTTAATCATTTCTTACGGAGTGGCAAACAAACAAAGTAACCCTAGTCATAAAAACATTGGTCATCACGAATGTTCCTGTGGCAAACGATATTTTCGTAAATTAGGAAGAAAATATTAATGAATAAATGGCTAGATCTCATCTCTAATTAAATTCAGATGAATTTTTATTTGTGAACAATTTGTATAAAACTTAATTTCCATACCTTTTGGATCTAAACCCTTATATGACAAAATACCTAAGCGACTGCTCGTAGACATTTATGGGAGTGATAAAACCATATTACTTTGTGACCGCAGTGGCAACGAGGCAAAGAGAATATCATCGGTTCCCCACAAAGGAACGAATAGACGCATAGTCGGTACGACCATTTAATTTCGTACTAAACCTTTTCTTTAATCTTTTTTTTTTGTTTTTTTTGTAGTGTTACCAAAACTTATGCATTTGAATACACCGCTAAAAGAACTTAATTAAAAGTAATGGGTACTTTTCTGTCTCGCCAAAAAGCGACTCCGGTGGGACTCGAACCCACAACCTTTGAATCACTTCGCCTTTGCCTAGAAGTCCAATGCGCTATCCATTGCGCCACGGAGCCACCTGTTGATACAGACGAGCACTGCTAAATTTGAACGAAACTCAATAATTTCTCTGGAACAGTTTGTGATTCTGCAGAAAAAGTAGCTCCTGCTGTGTGTAACCTCCAAAAGAATGTCGGTGAGAACATCGCCTTCTGAATACAGCTCTGTATGGTGGTAAAGTAATCCCACATGTATCGCCAAAATAATACACAGGGTGGCGCTGAAGCTCCACATAAACGAGTCATAATAATAACATGTAGTCCACGTCCACGGTGGTAAAATAAAATGTGACTTTGCATTTCCTTTTTTTCTAATTGACAACTGTTTTTTTTTCCGAAAAACTTTGTTTTCATTCACATGTGTGACAGCAAAACCTTTTCGATTTTCATCAATTTTTTCCCCAACGTTTGCGCGTCTAGACAGCGTTTTACGGCCGCGTTTTACCTCCGTGATGCATTCAAGTCATGTGCTATGCTGGATTATCAATATTGACTAAAGAAAGTAATAAAGTGTCATCAACATTTTTATTCAACATATGACATGAATGATTGCGCTGTATTATATAATTGACCCAGAAAAAAGACGAAAAAAAAAGGTCAGCATGATAAACTTTTTTATGTTAAATTTAATTCTACGGTCCCCCTCTCCCCCACCTTTTTTTTCTATTTCTTTATCACTGCTAAGGATCAGGATACTGTCTTTAATAAGTTTGAACTGACCTGAATTTTTTTTCATAGTAATATTAAAAAGATGTATTAGTTTTGTATTACTTTTTTAATAGATCACGTAGTTTACGACTTAACTTGAATGCACTGTGAAGTCACAGCGCGGCCGTAGTTCCCAGTGTAGACGCGCGGCCTGAGGGGGAAGGGGTGCAGGGACACATCCCAGCACACAGGAAAGCCAATGGGAGATAGCTATCTTGTCCTCCCACCTAATCTTTGATGTGTCCTCCCAGGAGCGGAAGTGTCTGGGATTCCGCTCAATCCATCGCTCTAAAACCAGGCGTTTACACAGGGAGGACGGAGCGTTTGCATCTCTTCCCAACAGAAGAGGGGGTGGGGGGTCTTTCAGCTTCGCTGTGCACTATTTATTAGGCTTTACCAGCGCGGGACATGGTCTTTGAGGTTAGAACATTTTCTTTCCTGCAGCAGACTTTCAATAAAACCAAGCCGAGTGGCTTGGAATGCTTGAAATTTACAACAGAGGCATGTTCGCTCTTTTCTTCTTCATCCAGCGTCATGTTTTATTATAGGTCTGCGCAATAGCCACGGACGCCTGCCTGGACACGGGAGGGGATTAAGTTACTGCTGCTGGCGGCGGATTATTTTATTGGCTTCCTGTCACGCCTGCCACCAGCCTTTGGTGATCCTGTTTCCAATTAAGCACGATCGCTGAAGAAGGGAAAAAAAACAAAAACAGGTACGTTACTGTCCTCTAAAATATGGGAGCGTTCCTCTTTAAAAAACGTCTCACTATTGGTTTAACCACGCTGTAACGCCCATCCTTTGTTGCTCATTCCCCTACTCGCTCTTTGCATGTCGAGATGCTGTATTTAAATACCTCGTTATTACAATTGGAAAAACAATGAGAATTGATGCAAGCTTGGTGATATTAGAGTAAAACGCGTAGAATATGGTCTACATAGAGCAGGATATTGCAGGCTTTTGAAGCAATAGCATCCTCATTTGCAAATTATGCATAACAGTGCTTTGCATGCGTATTTATATCTCTTGAGCCTTTTTCTTTTTTGCCACGTTACTCCCACAATTTGTTTTTCGTAGAATTTTTAATTGTGAAACGGAAAAATAGATGATTTTGTTGGACTAGGTAGGTCTTTACCGGTCTGTCTTCGCGGAATAGCTCAGACAAAGGCAGATCGGTTAGAGAGGGACGGCAACTTTAAATCTCTCCACAGGTCTAGGCTGTAGGTCTAGGCTTTGACTAGACCTTTATGGAACATGCATATGCTTTGATGCAAACTGTCCCACTGAAGTTCTGGCTGTATGTTTAGGGTTTATGGTCCAGTCTGAAGAAGAGACTCCGCTCTGGCATTTCAGAAGCTTTTGCAGCTTCTGAAGCGCCACCACGCTTTTAGTGTGTGAACCGGGGTGTTAAGGGTGCTAGTTTTTAAATGTAGGTCAAAAAGTTCAAAGTTGTTGTCATCTTGATCTTCTTCTTCTTCGTGTTTGCTGTCCTTTTTACATTGCCTATTGCAAATGAACAAATTCTCCCACCTGGTGGACGACCAAGAGCTGATGTAGTCTTCTATTTTCAGCCCTCTGTGTTCAAAGTTTGGGATGTTGCTTTCCGATTTATCCATCCATCCATTGTCTATGCCCACTTTTCGTTACAAGGTTGCCAAGGGATTGGTGCAGGGGGCGGTTCAGTAGTTATTGGGTAAGAAGTGGGGAAAGGTCGAACTCTCCATACCTTTCCTCCCTGTCCTGTCTGCTGTGTTTCTTGGTCATAATGATGTTGTTTGTTCTGCAATGGGTTTTATTTATTTATTTATTTTTTTAAACAAATCTCAGGCCTTCACAACATGCATTTACATCCAGATAAAATCACACACTGTCTACTCATTATGTGACTTCTGAAGGCAACTGGCTGCACTTGATTTTATTTAAGGGTATCAGACTAAAAAGATTTAACACAAATGTGCACCTCTCCACTCATAATTCTGCTCTACTTCGCGTCGACCCGTCACAGAAAAACCTAATGACACGAAAACCTTCCAGGTGTGTGTCTGGTGATTCGCCGTAGACTTCCTCCTTCCTGTGTGTTTTCATGTTTGCTTTGCGAGCCACAGAGCATTAGCTGGACGTCAGCAGCTTCCACTGCCCCCCCTCCCCCCACCCCCTTCTGCTTCCTCTGTCCCAGCATGTTTTGGTCCGCTCGTGACGTTTTCGTCCACTCAGTCTTGACTGTACTTTCCCACGACAAAGTCTAAGCACAAAAGAATTCGCCTGATGTTTTGACAGCCCTGTTTTCTCCCTCCACAGACATTGGTTAAGGGTAACTAGTAAATATTTAAAAGTTGCAGGATACTTGACCTTGAAAGACAGGAGTTTCTTTCTGGAGTATTTAGCTTTAGAAAGTATTAATTTAGATACACAACTATAGAGGCAAATGCATAAAAACACAAATTTTATTTGAAATCAATAGCAAATTAAAGTCATTGCCTTTAAAAAATAAAATAAAAACAATTCTGAAGACCCATTTGCTTATATATAACATATATCTAAATATATAGTGAAAAAAACATTTAATTCAAACATTTAGCAAGCTTACATTCTGCTGACAGCGGAACAAAAACTGACGAGTAGACCACATTTCGTCAAGTCGGATCACATAAATGAATGTCTCCACGTTTTCCCGCTCTAACAGTGTTTTCCTCATCCATCCGTCCGCAGGGATGTCGTTCCGTAGAGGTGTGGTCCGGCAGAGCAAGTTTCGCCACGTCTTCGCTCAGGCCTGGAAGGCCGAGCACTGCCTCGACGACGTCAGAGTGTCCCGGGTGACGTGGGACGGCCCCCTCTGCGCCGTCAACCCCAAGTTCATCGCGGTCATCATCGAAGCGGGGGGAGGAGGCACCTTCCTCGTCGTTCCGATCGGCAAGGTCTGGCCGTCTGCATTAGCGTCCCGTATCCGATAAAACCGGGGATCAATACGTGCCTTTCGAGCCAAAAGGCTTCGCTATGACATCACCCTTTGTATCAAACTAATGCACGCGAAGCACTTTTGCAGTCCAGACTGTACGGCACTGTACTGTAATGCATGCAGCCTTTCAGGTCAGTGGAGTTGAGCTTTTTGTTTTCTCCAAACAGAGCGGCAGAATCGACCAGTCCTGCCCCACGGTCTGCGGACACGCGGCGCCTGTGTTGGACATCCAGTGGTGTCCCCATGACGACAACATCATCGCAAGTGCCTCAGAGGACTGCACAGTGAAGGCAAGCGTTGTTCATGCGGAGGTGGTTTGTGGCCCTTCACCAGCTGGTTTCAGATCAACCACTGGCAAGTTTTACGACCACAAGTTAACGGCCAGGTTTTAAGATGTACAGTTAAGGTTTTATTATTCTGGGCTTTCAGAGGCTTTCTTAGGAACTTGTTTTCCAGGATGCAACAAACAAAACATTTTTAGAAACAAGGATTGTGCTGCAGAAGTTGGAATTTGCCGTCGCTTTATTTCCTCCTCACATTGTCAAAACTGTGCATGCAGGCTCAACTGTATGCAGACTGTCCCCCAGTCTTGTAATAAGTGATCTTTTAACTGTAAACTTGACGAGGGCAAGTTTGATGGCAGTTGAGGCACAGACTGAGCTGTTTAACCGGAAATCTTTTGGAGGACTCACAGTGAGACTTTCCAAACTGAAGAACGCAATGCAAACTGCCAAGTATGGTGGTGATTTGCTTCATCTGCACTGTGTAAAATGGATGATAAAGCTCCAAAATCTTCAGCTCAAATCGACAACTAGAACTCTTCCAATTCTTGTTTTTGAAATCCTTTTCACGGTGGCCGTTATATAATCGCTCTAACCTGGAACAAGAACAACTTGAATAAATTATTATGAGCCTCAAAGTAGCATCGCATTCATTCTCAGGACCAGTTCTTGTAAAATTATAGTAATTTCAATATGAGAAACTACTAATGTTATCCACTTCCGCAAGGAAAACAGATAAACGGTTTTATTTTTGCACACTGCTGGGTCTCGAGTGACTCAGCCTAATCGGGTCTGCTTTAGGAAAGAAAGAAGGGCGTGAGAGGGCAAGACGAGAAGCAGTGCAGAGCTGCAACACTACATCGAGTTTGTTGTGTCCTTCGAAGGTGTGGCAGATCCCCGATGGCGGGCTGACCAGCCCGATGACTGACCCGATTGTGACCCTGGAGGGCCACAGTAAAAGAGTGGGAATCCTGGCTTGGCACCCTTGTGCCTTCAACATCCTACTGACTGCAGGTGGGATCATTTTTTTACTGTCCAGTTCTCGTTAACCCTGGCTGAGAGCCCCGGATAAGGAAGTGTTTTTCCCATAGCTCACTTGTAGGTTACTCATCAACCAATAGTGACTTTTCCTCCTCCTCTGTGTATTGTAGCAACGTAACTCCATGTCCTCATCCAGCCACTGCTGAGGTTGTTTGAATTTTTGTGATATTCGCAGTAGCTACGTTCTTGTTAGCCATTCCTCAAAGGTTAGCACAGGCCCGCCTTACGCAAAGAGTATGTTCTCTTCTGCATTCTCCAGAGCGAAACTATTTGATATTTGTCACATTTGGTTTTGTTGCAATTATAATAAGCATGCATTTGCTTAAAATAAGTATTTATCCACCCCGATTATTGTAACAATATTATAAATGCAGAAGTATCCTACTGAAGTAAAGTAAGAACATTTTTAATAATCACAATTCAATGTAAAGGTTAGATTTTGCTCAGTTTTCTATTGTAAGGTTGTTCTGCTGTAATCCAAACTTTTTAATATTTATATTATCTAATCTTTTTTTGTTTTGATACAACTTATAAATAGACTTTTCTGTATCTTTGCGTGAGTTCTGTGGAAAGTGAGAGTTGAGGAGCTGCTCTTCTCTTCCTGCTTGGTGTTCAGTGACAGCGGCCAGGTCCAACACTGCTGCATAATGAAGGTGGGGAATAGGATTTCCCTTCTTGGAGATTTATTAACATGTAGCGAGATTAAAGGAGAACGTAAATAACCCGACGAATAATTACAGTTTCAAACACATGCCGAAGCTGCCAGATTTCGTTTCGTTTGAAATCCGTCCGAGTAACTCTAGCTTTGGACATGGCGAGCTTCCACTTCGCCTCGTTCGATTTCCTGGTTTCTGCTCTCAAGTGTCTAATTTCAATTTTTGCCTCCTTGATGAAAATCCAGAAATATGTCTAAAAAAAAAAAACTAAAAAAAAACAGTTTGAACTTTCATGCAAAATAATATCGCGTGTGTATATTTCACCACGATGCTTCAAAGGCGAGAACTTTTACCTCGACTCCCCGTCTTTTGACTTTAAGCAAGCTTCTTTGTCGGCCGTCTGTCTAGGCTGCGATAACGTGGTTTTCGTGTGGAACGTGGGCACGGGCGAACTCGTGTACCAGCTCGCCGACGCCCACCCGGATCTGATCTACAGCGTCAGCTGGAATAAGGACGGCAGCGCCGTGTGCACCGTGTGCAAGGACAAGGCCCTGCGCATCATCGACCCACGCCGCGGCGCTGTCCTGAAGGTAGCGTCACAGTTTTATGCATGTACATGTATATTTATATCTGTGTGTGTAGACATGTAGGAAACATTTGTATCATTACTCATGTTGTGTGTGTGTGTGCGCGAGTCTGTTATCAGCCTCTCTTCCCTCCCAAAAGGTCAGAGAAAAGGTCCATGATGGCACAAGGCCCATGAGAGCCGTCTTCCTCGCCGATGGGAAAATATTGACCACGGGCTTCAGCCGCATGAGTGAGAGGCAGCTCGCTTTGTGGGACGCCGTAAGTCTCCACCACATCAGCTTTCCGAAGCCGTTTACAAACTCAGTGGAGTTTCACAGCAGAAAATGTTGTTTTACAGGATCGCTTGCCAGCTATTCAGTCCCTTATAAAAGCATCCATCCATGTTTTTTTCCCCCTAATTTTGTGACGGTATGACATCAGGCTACATTTTATTTTATTTTATTTTACATGATAGACCAACTCAGAGTGGTATATAAGTTTATTATTTAATTAGGCGCATCTGTGTCAATGCTTTGTCGAAACACTTTTTGCTGCATTTACTGCTGGAAGTATTTTGGGGTATGTTTGTAACATCTAGAAGTCGCTTCTCTTTCTTTCCTTTCATGCAAAACAACTCAGACTCCTGAGACTCAACAGAGAACATCTCTGTATTTTAATTCCTAATGTTCCCCTGTAACGCGTTTGATGTGTTTTTGTTTTTACAGAAAGATCTCTCCGAGCCAATGGCTGTACAAGAAATGGACACAAGTAACGGAGTTCTCCTTCCCTTTTATGACCCCGACACAAACATGGTCTATCTCTGTGGGAAGGTAAACGCGTAACAGCTTTAAATGCAGAACGCAGCCTCGCATCCATTTTCAAGCGGGTGAGTTTGATTTCTCTTCATTTCAGGGGGACTGCACCATCCGGTACTTTGAAGTGACAGACGAGTCTCCCTACGTTCACTTCCTGAGTTTATACAGCAGTAAGGAGCCTCAGAGAGGCGCGGGCTTTCTCTGTAAAAGAGGCGTGGATGTCAACAAGTGTGAAATTGCCAGGTTAGCTCTTTAAATCTGCTCATATTTTTTTTTTTTTTTTTTTTTTTTGCTGTAATCATTTGGAATATTATGTTTAGAATATTCTGCAGAAACAGGTGAGAACATTTCACTGGAGGCATCCTACAGCACGCTGCATCCGTGGCTCTACTGGTAAAGATTTCGTAAAAAGCATTAAAATGTTTAATCTCACTCCCATTTGACTGAAGTTCAAAGTAAAGTTGTTATCCTGACATGCCTCTCAGTGAACTGGTTAGCATGTGGTAGCATGCTATATTGTGGATGTTAAGGTGACTTGATGATGCAAACATGGCACCCTACGCTGCAGGTTTCTAACAGTGAGCATCCTGCACACTGTGCGTGGTTGCAGCATGCAGCTTCGGTCCTCATCCAGCTTCTTTTTTTTTTTTTTGCACATTTCAGATTGATTTGAATTTTTTCGTTATTGCTCTAATTGTTATTATCCCCATCTTTAGATGAGTAACTATTCTTCTTTGTTAGTCTCCAGCTTAACACCAGGCCTGTATCGATAACAAATTTTGCTGGACGATTAATTGTTCCAGAAGTTATCGCGATAAACAATAATATTGTTGTTTTTGAGACAATTTTTAAGTAATATAATGGTTACGGCAAAATAATAATGCAAGAACACATTCTCAAAGATGAGCTTTCACTTCTAATGAACTGGAAGACATGTTAAATATCCAAAAATAAATAAATAAAACAACAAATAAAATGAATTCTGAAGTCTTGGTAAACAAAGCTGTCCTTCAAAATAAGGGCTGGCTGAGACCAAAGCACCAAAATGAATTCTTTTATCCTCTGGTTTTTGGCAGAAAGACAGAAAAATAAATCATGCCAATGGAAATGATTAAGTTTGTTTTAATTTATCATTAAATAAATTGTGACAGGTCTACAACACTCATCTGCCATTTCTTATGTTAAAGATTTTCTTACCCCAACTGACTGACTGTACTCAGATATTTAGATTGGATGTCAATAGGATAAAAAAAAAAAACAATTAATATGAAGTAATGTCACTCCAGTAAAAGAATAATTTATTTTACTGGTGCCACTAAGTATGTGGGAAGTTGTGTTACAAGTTTTTTTTTTTTCTTTATTCTGCTCACTAAATTGGTTTGCATGCCTTCCTGCTGACTCTCATTGGTAGAGTCATGCTTTGGGCCACGTATAGTACAATCATGGTCGCTCTCATTTTGATGCAAAAATACTGACATTGCAAAACGTCTCTGTGTGGTTTACAGTGCTCTGAGCAAAATTACGCTACAGTTATCACATCAAACTTCATCTGCTTCCTCAAAAATATTCAAAAGTTGACTTAAGGTGTATTTATGCCACTTCAAAGTACATGTAATTTCCACTCAGCCTTATTTCTACATCAACATAGAACTACTAAGATTATTCAGTTCTGTTATTAATTTCCTGTCGACCTGCAGGTTCTACAAGCTGCATGAAAGGAAAGTGGAACCCATTTCTATGACTGTACCACGCAAAGTAAGTCGCACACACGGCCTTTAAAAGAATGTTACTTGGATTAATGTACAGAAGAAAAGAAAGAAAGACAAAAACAACCACACTTTTTCTCACTATGTTTCAATTTTTGCCCCACCAGTCAGATCTCTTCCAGGGAGACCTTTACCCAGACACTGCAGGCCTGGAGCCGGCTCTGCTGGCAGACGAATGGATCGCCGGACAGGACGCGGCGCCCCTGCTTGTCTCGCTGAGCGGAGGGTACGCGGCTCCTCCCTCCAAACACAGAGACACCCTCAGAAGCAAGCCCAAGCTAAGCTCTCAGGACTCCGGTGCCGGGGGCGCCGCCACGGCAGCAACCGCAGCGGCCGCTCCCACACCGACGCCTACCTCTGCCGCCAAGGAAGTGGAAGAAGAAACGCCGCAGCCACGGGCGACCGCGAGGGAGATGGATGGAAATACCGAGAGGCCGAGGAGAGAGGTAAAGATCCTTTCCTAATGCCTTAAACCGTCGGCACAGCCACAGGTGATCATCTTTATGCTCTCGTAGCCTGCTTTCTGATTTGCTGCTCTCCTTGGTTTCAGGATGAAATGTTGAGCGAACTGTTAGCGGAGATGAAGGCCTTACGGGCGGTCGTGCTCGCTCAGAACCAGAGAATCGAGCTGCTGGAGAGGCAGCTCACCCGGATCGAAGACGGCGACGTGTGAGGAGGCGTAAAACTTACCGCACTCCCGAAGAAGTGATAGACTGTAGCCTTACTAGTCTTAACAATACCTTCTTAATGCTTTGTGAGTGTAAAAAACTGTGTAAAGACTGTGAATCACAGTGGCTTCCAGCTGCTGTGATTAAGGCTGTACTTCCCAGATGATTTTTCTTTTTTTAGTAAATACGGTGTCATCTGCATAGAGTGAAATTTATAGCAAAACTAAAGGATCTTGTAGCAGTTATTGGATCTTGCAACTTTGAGCTTTTTTTAAAAAATAAAGAAATAATGCTTTGATTCTGCAAGACTAGAGGAGTTACAATGATATGACTCCTTTAAATTAACACAAAAGGTCGTAATAGGCGTAATGGGGAGCTCTGCTGACTCGGCCGAAGGTTGCCAATTTATAGCAAAGCATCTTAATTACCTCCAATACGTGTGTTTTCCTGGCGGACATTCATAAATGTCACCTCTAGGGCTTATTATTCAGGTAGTTTGAGGTGCAAAAGTGTTGAGTCGTGGCTCGACTTTTTACATGACTTGGGCTTTGTTCTCCCTCTGTTTTCTATAGTTTGCTCTGCTCAAATGTACGAACCTAAAATCTCAATGTGCAAACAGTGAGAACCACATGAGCGATAGGCGGTGAGAAAGTTGTGGAGTATTTACATGTAGTTTCATCCCGTGTTGTGGCAGTAAAGGAAACGGGTCGAGCGCTGGTGATTTTGTGTGTTAAGAGCAGCGACTGTGTTTTATAGGTCACTTTGAGGTTTAAGCGTTTGATTGAAATTACACATACGCATTGATAGCAGTTTCAGTCAACAGGAATTTAACATGACACTATTTTCCTTTTGGTTTCAGCAAAATACGCATCAATATGCAAATATGCGAGGCACTTTTAGTTCCGTTTCTTTCGTTTTAGTCGTACTTTTGTGAATGTTCCTTATTTAGAGGCATTACTGTGTGTTTTACGTAGCAGTCAGTTGTAGGATAACAGCGTTACATTCCAGTTGAGCCCTTTAATACTTTAATTTTAATTATGCACTGACCTCCTAACACTGCTACGAACAACAGGTTCGGCCAGACAACGGTGTAACGATCGACTCGACTCTGTTTCATGTTTTGTACGAAAAAGCCTTTCGGTTTACGCTAATGTTCCCTTCATGGTCAAGTGTTTGTGATCAGTTCTAGCTCTGATTACCCTTGGAAATACTGTGTTTGAGTGTGATAATTGTTAAATAGATGATGAATGGACTTTGTTTTTAACCCAACTTGTCATTCTTAATAAAATATCCCATACAATATGTGTCTGGTTAAGAGAGTGCAATATTATTCTTTAACTTGTTGCCTTGCTGCAGTTCATTTCACCTTAAAGCCGACTGAGTGCAAATAAACAGTAGCGTGTGCTGCTGTGATAAAGGCAACTTTGAGAAGATTTCCTGGATTAAGTGGAATGTTATCTGCATTGAATGAAATTTATAGGGAAAAAAACTGAAAGATCTTGGTTTTTTGCTACAAATTTGAGGTTTTAAAGTCAATGCTTTGAGTTTTTAGCATCATTTTGAACTGACACTGACATCCAAAGTGTGTTATTTTTCTTTCGCTGACATCTGCTTCATCTCTGTAGCGGTTATTTGATGGTGCTACTACTAGAATTTTTCCAAACGAATACTTGGATTATGCATCGATTAGAACAAAAAGGTAAACAAAAATAACTTAGAATTTGATTGTTTGTGCTGTCTAGCACTCATTAAATTATTTCCTCTCATTTCCAGAAATAAATGTCACCACTATTCTGGTAATTTTAGCTCATAGTTTCGTCGCTGACTATTTGTGTATTTTGTGTTTTGGTTTTTCTCTCCATCTTTCTAATATGCTGCATTCAAACTCATGAGTGAACATCTGTTGTTCACTCATAAATGAATTTCCTTTAAAAATCCAATTTACCACTCTTAATAAAATGTCTGGTAAACCACATTTATTAAGAATAGAGCATTAAAAAAAAAAGTTTAGGTCCAATTTGGTTGTAGAGAGTAAAAGTTTGTGAAAGTTCAGTGGATCGAAAAGGGAAGTGAGCAAAGGCAAAAAAAAAAAAGTAAATTCTGGTATTTGAAAGCAAGTGTGTGTGTTCTGTTTTTTTTAAGTGGCTGGAAAGCATTATAAACAAAACTCTGTGGTCTGACAAGATGAAAACTTAGTCAACTGTGCAAAAACACTGAAACAGTTTTCAAGTTCCTTCATCCAAAGTTTTAATAAAGAAAAGCTCTAGAGCTGACCTCAGATTAAAGTAACCCTTTCTAGAAATTAGTCCATTTGAAAGCATTTGACTAAATGCTAAAGAAGCTATGCCGTCTGTAATTTTTATGTATGCTGTTGAACTAAGACGAATTTTTACACGCGAACAACGCAGGAAATAATCAAAAACTATGAAAGCCTCCGCAACCTTTGCAGCCCTAAAGTGCAATTCTTTCATGTTAAAATAGCTTTTAAAAAAAAATTTGTAGTGGCCTCAACAAAACTGTCCAAATGTAAATTTAGCTTTGTGTAATAATATTTAACAGGTGTGTACAGTATGCAGTTACAGTACAGATTTGGTTGGAGACATTGATGCTAAGTGCAGACGACGTGTGAGCCGGCCAGCAGTGCAGAAACAGGATGTGGCCAACTCGTTTCAGAAGCTCTGCACAATGCTTATGCTTTGCATACACTTGTAGAAGGCTCCAGTTATGCAGATGCAATATTTTTAAGAATTAAATAAGACACCAACTCGATCGCCGGTTCATACAGATTCAAGTTGCTCGGCTGGCACGTTTGTGCACAACATCAGGGCTGAATCGACGCTTGTTTCATGAACTCTGTTCTCCATTGTAGAGCTTCGTTGTTTGCCACAAAACCAGACTCAACAGGATGTACACCGTTCAATTTGAAAACCGTCAGTGAGTTTGCAAGTTTTTTTTTTGTTTTGTTTTTTTAAATATATCTTCCATGTCCTAAGGCATTTAACTGCACCTGTTCTGTCAACTTGTACTGATACAAGTCTGCCTTGAAAGAGAAAAAAAATCACAAAAACATGTTCCTCTTTCTATAAATATTTGTGCATTTTCATATCTGTGCCTTCCACCACACCTCGCTGCAAGTTTGCCTTTAATCTGTGCTTGCACTCCCTCCCCCAGCCTCCACCCACCTCAAACAGTTTCAGCTAAACTTTTTTTTTTTCTCATGTCATGCATCACTCCCCGCAGCTCTTCTTCTCTCCCTCTCATCTGCATGCAGTGACATTAGTCAAACACACCCTTACTGACATGTAAGCCAGTACCAGCCTCATCGCCAGTCTTCGGGTCTTTGGCGCCACAAACATTTGGTTTATCTCTCCTGAGCGACTTTGGTGAGTTTTTTTTCATAGCTTTCTGGTTTCTTTTTTTTCTTTTTCTTTTATATCTGCTGAAGTCTGGTTGTTTTTTTTTTTACATGCTGTTGATCTCAAATGTTTAATTTATCAAATATGTGTCACTGTACAACTTAAAGCATTTCTACTACAGCTACTAGGTTCTACTGCTGCGGCTTATTTAGAGCGTCTTTTTTTATTATTGTTTTATTACACAATGTCTCATTGTGATCATCTAAAGTTGAATGTTTTGTGCCACAGCAGACTGACTGAGGCTGCTCAATTATCACTTTGACAGGAAACCAGCAGCACTGAGAGAGATCTGCTCAGCTTCCTGTCTTTCAAGTCATTGCAGACGGCGCAAAGTGCGACAGAAATAGACGTCTTGAGTATGTACAACACTATTTGCTTTTTAATTGTTTGAAATGGGAAGCATAGCATTCATCCTGTGCTGATATTGTTCACAAATAAACAGGCTGATAATGCGATGCGGCAAATTAGTTAAGTATAAAATGTGGTTTGTTAAAGTGACTACATTCACAAACTGAGTTCTAAACGATCCTTTGCTTTTGTGATTTTTCTATTTTCTATAGGCTGCAGATGTAAACATACAGATGGATTGTCGGATGAGAAGCTCCAGGTTCCGTTGAAACTACCCGGGTTTTTTTTTTTTGACTGTACACTTCAGCTGAAACAAAGGCACTTGAGATTTTTTCACACTCAGCTGAAGGTTTATCGCAAAGGTAAAGTATCTTGAAAAATAACTTTTAGAGTCTATTGTCAGACCTGCACACATCACATTGACAATCATCAATTGAAGTTCAATATTTGAATTTCATTCTGTTTTAAAACTATAATTATGTGCTACTTAGGAAATAGTTTGGAAACCACTGAATAAGTTAATACGTTTCACATGAGAGTTAAATAAAAACCTGCAAATTTGACTTCATATACAGAGCTGTGAAAATGTACACGCCCCTCTCCGGACGTCTTCTGTTTTTGATTCATTGTCACATCTAAACGTCAGTGATTTTCGATTTTATATTGAGTTACAACAGGACCGGCTAAGGTTGAAAAACTAGGGGGCGGGGGGAAAGCAGCTCCTGATTTTACAAAACTCGTGTAAAACATGTCTTTGCTGTTGAGCACATTTTCTTAAAAGGTAAAGACTGGGCAGTGCAAAGTGGAAGCTGGTTTCATCAAACCAAGCTGCATGCAATTAATGATCCTCAGCTAACAAAATCTTTCATAAACAGTTTAATAACATGCATTGTGCCTTGAAGAGGTTGTTTTATATTTTGGAAGGGAAAGTTTGGGAAAATGTTTTGAACCTTTAACATCATACTGGCAGTACATCTTTCTTATTATTTCATTTTTAATACATTAAGTTATCCCAGGGCAGCAAACCAACTTATACAACTTATATCATTTTCTTAACCTTCAAACCTCTTCATGTTTGCATTGGTAGGTTATTAACAGGGAAGCAAATAATTATTTACACTGAAAATGGAGGTAGGAGGCAGTGCGCCACCAGTGAACTTTCTATATGAAACACGTACTGGAATGAACTCAAAGTGTTTCCAGTGAGGTAAAAAAAAAAAAAAGCAGCTTCTCTGCAAATAACCATCCAATACGAACATGTTAACAATGAAACGTTCATAAAACAATGCTTGCATAGACTTCAATATGACTTTTTGAGGCTGAAGTTGCTTTAAGACGCCTGAAATCTGATTTGGTTTAGGCCAATATTTGACTAGCTTCAGCTTCTGGAGCCAACTAATCTACCTTCATTCAAAATTAGGACAGTACAGGAGCTTTCTACTGCAGCTGGGATCTTAACTGCCTAAAACCTTTTGACAGAACATAGCTTGAAAAATGTCTGTCACAATCAGCAGACAATGTTCCCAATGATTCTGTCTGTTTCTTTGCTTCGTCATGAGATAGATATGTAGAATTTTTATCATCAGCATTACAGCTGCCGCCATTATGCTCCACTTGATATGTGTGAGAAATTTCATCAGAAATTGCTTTGGGTTTATCTCTGGACACTGAAACAAAAAAGAAGGGAGTAAAGAATGGTAGAAAGATGTGGGAAAGGATGAGGGGGAGAAAAGGGACAAGAGCAGAAGAGAGAATGAAGCACTGAAAAAACACAAGTCAGCCCCCTGGTAGTCTGAATCTAGACCTGCAGAACGAGAAAAACTAAACTAAACTGAGAGATCACAACATAATATGTTTTAAAAACAGGACTGCTACAGTTGCCTTTGCTTTATTCAGCTCCCACCTTAGATTTTATTTATTTCACTTTAATTCTTAAATTTATTTTTTTTTGTCAAAACTAATCACTGGGACCATTACCAGCTACTTATTTTTTTTATTTGCTTATGTACTACAATGGGTGCCACTGTTGAGGTCTCTCCTGATTTCAGCGGAGGACTGCATTTATATACAGCATATGTAATTTTAATTAATTTATAATTTTGTACATATATCATTTTTGTATAATAGATATTTTGCGTATTTTTACATCTACATGTTATGTACAGAAAAGCAGCACAGGTTACATGTAAAAAACTAACACTTATAGCATAAATTTAACAGTGTTAATGCACTTTGTAGCTTAACTAGAATATGGTTAATGTCCCAGCCACAAACTTTCCTTTAAAAATCATAAGGAAGTTTATGCAGCGTAAGTTTCATGGTTTTACTTATTCTAAATCTCCTTTCTCTCCTTGCCTCAGGAAAATGCCCGACACTGTGGTGATTCTTTCTCTCGTCCTGTTGGTCCTTGTTGTACTGCTGGTTTTCTTCTACAAGAAACTGAACAAGGAGGCAAATAACCAATACACAGTTCAGAACATAATATACAAGGAAGGTGGGGTCAGGGACCGGGTGAGGGCCGCAGCACTGGCTGTGGAAACACGTCTCGGCGTCCAGGTGTGGCCTCGCGGACACGACGAAGAGGAAGAGATGGAGGAAATTCAGGACGAGGAGGGAGCAGTGGATTCTGGAGACAGCCAGCACCAGAGTGACGGGAGCGGCACGGACGGAGAGGATGAACAAGAGGAGGATAGTGTGGACCACAGCGGTAGCACAAAGGAGAACGAAGGAGATGACTCAGATGTGGAGGGCTCAGAAGCAGGGGAGGAAGACAGGCTGATAGACAATAAACCAGAAGAGAATGAGGAGGTGGGGGGTAACAGTGAGGAAAAGCAGGAGTTAAAAGTAGAAGGTAAAGCAGAAGCAAGTGGTGGTACTGGATTGTTGATAGACCTAAAGCAGTTCTCTGGGAGTGCTATCTGGTCGGAGCAGAACGAAGATGAGAGTCAGGGTGGTGATGTGACTGCACTGTGAAAACGTGAGCAGAATTTATAAGGTGTAAAAATGGGCTATTTATAAAGAAAAAGATCACAATTTCAAGTAAGCCAGAGTGGAAGTCATACCATTTGAAAATAAAAATCAAATTTAGAAAACCGTGTCAGAACAGCTTCAGCCTCATAATGTTTTCTTTTTTTTTTTTTTATCTTCATGCCTTTAGTGTTGACACATCAGGGGAAAACACAATGGCTGAATGAAGCTGTTCTAAATATGCATTTAAATGGTTCTTGTAAAGTTTGTGTAAAGTTTCTCATTTTGGACTTTAAACTATTTTTTTAGGAAACAAAAAGATATATGTCAAGCTTTTCAATGTAAACGGGTTCATAATATTTTTCAGCTGAGTAGTGATTAACTCTCTTTGACTATATATATTGTAAAAGAGCAACAACTACTCAAAGGTGAATATTTCATAGTAAAATAAAGGCTTTTTGTTGCTGTATTAACACTTTGAAACAAGGTGTTAATATGCTGAACTGTCTGTGTCATATGCTCATGATGTACATGTTGCTACAAAACAAAATAAACTACAAATTTAAATGTTTTTATTTCATAATTGAATTCTTTTTAAATAAACTTTTCAAAATAAGTAAAGCTTTTGGATTTTTCTTGACCAATTTTTAAGATATACACATTTTCATTCTACTGTAGTGTTCTTTTCATTTTAAAAGCTATATTAACTTTAAAAATGTCTTACTTTTTATTTCAGAATGTTTCTCTTTTTCTCCATTTGTTTTTGTAAATTCTTAATTTTAGAAAAGGTCTTTTTAAACATGTAAATTAATAATGCAATTTTGCAGGCCATTTTAAAAAAAATAACTACCAGCAAATTTTGTGTTTGTATCTAGTTATTTTCCCCCGATAGTATTCTTTGTTTCTGTCTTACATAATAAAAAAAGATGTTAATAGCGAATCATTATTCTAATAGCGCTGGATAAAGACGGCACATACGTCATCATCGCTACCTTTATATTACAAAGTTGAAGCCGCGTCTTCCAATGGGGATGTAGCTCAGTGGTAGAGCGCATGCTTCGCATGTATGAGGTCCCGGGTTCAATCCCCGGCATCTCCACAACTAGGATTTTTTTTTCCTTTTCTTTGAGCTATTCATAATCTCTTATAATATATAGTAAAATATGTCGCTACCATAGTATGACACGGACAAATTTGTTTTTGCTACATGAAAATTAATAAATATGACATCAGTTTCTGATTGGTCAGAGAGGCTCTTGCTAGATTCTGATTGGATACTGGGCGTTCTCTAAAGAGGGCGATATTTATTTTATATGGAGCTACCTTATGGAGGTATAACAGATTAGCTAATAAGAAAATCCTTAGTACAATTAAAACGACAGTATCAATTTAGCAAATGTTCTCAGTTCTCACACAATAATATTTGCAACAGTTCTGCAATTCCTCTTAACGGCGAAGACAATGGTCGTGGAAAATCAGGACGATCCACCGATACATAAACGTGCTTTTTCCACAATCACAGTCAGAATATACCTGTGGCTTATTTACATGGGCTGGTGCAATCAGTTTGCGTCTTCCTCTCTCACCCAAACTTGACTGTTCCAAAGAAATGATTTCAGCAGACGTCACTCATCTGCATAGGGAGTAAGATGCAACCATCCTGCGAGCAGGCTCCTCGGAACCTGAAAACCTCTGTGTCTCCTCCAGGGAAAAACACTGGGCCCGCCGATTGCTGCATACATCAGACTACAAACATGGAAGGTACACTTTGCACGGACTGTCATTCCGCGATGTGCGCTTATATCCGCATCCAGAGGACGCATTTAGGTTGCAAGATGGATGCAAAGCCGCCTTGCACAAGGATGCACGTAGAGGCGGCTGCAGGGCGTCTTTAAATACCCCCACCGCTGCCAACACCTCTCGCGGTTCATTGTCGGCTCTTAATGCCCAGCTGTTATTGTGCTTATTTGTGTTTTGTGTCTGCAGGAGTAGGATGTTACTAGCATCCGCCGTGGTGGTATGGGAATGGCTGAACGAGCACGGACGCTGGCGGCCGTACAGCCCGGCTGTATGTCACCACATCGAGGCGGTCATCCGGAGCGACCCGCGGTGTGGTAGCGTGGTCCTCGGCCAAGTGGACTCTCGCCTCTCGCCCTACATCATCGATTTACATTCCATGCACCAATTCCGACAAGACACAGGTGAGAGTCAGAGCAGAGCGACTTTGGGTGGAACAGTGACATGGACGCGAAAGGCCTTTTCTTATTTCTTCCCTTTGTAACGCTCTTGTTTGGATTCCCTGGAAAAATTGTCTTGCATGGATTTGTCCTCTGATGATTTGACGCCTTGTTTGGTTTGTTTCCATATGATTTGCATAACCTTACGCGTAAACAGCATTTTAATTCCGCACATTGCTTTTTTATTTAGTAGTTTCTTTAAAATACTCAGTATTTACATATGGGGCCCATGTGAGAACGAAATTGACTAAAGAATGGGCCTCAAATGAGATTACATAACACCCTCGTGTTAATTTCAAACATTTAGCGTTTGCCCTCTGAAAAGTTAATGTATTTAATTTTTCATATGCAAGTCGAACTTAATTTATGCATGTTTATGACACGCAGCCAGATATATTTCAAGGGTTTAACTCCATTAATTAGAATGATTAGAAAAACGTTAAACAAAAACAGATTTTTGATAAAGAAATATTCTTCTGTAGCCATTCTTCTTCAAATTCACTGTAATGCAGACCGCTACAAGAGACCTCTCCTGCCAACATGCATCACCGTCTACAATTACTCTTTGAAGAATTTGAGTCTGAGATGTGCTGATTTAAAGGGCCCATGCAAACAAAACCTAAAAGAATATAATGTTGGAGGTAAAAGCAACAGTAACGAGAGAAATAATGTGTCAGATATTGATTTATTATCGACTTCAAAATCTGAAGTTTACAAACAGAATCAAGGAAGAAAAGTCGTGATGAGGTTGTCATGGCTTTGGACACGTCTGATAGGAAAACTGACCCATTTGAGTTAAGTGGAGGAAGGCCTGTGGATGTATTTGGTCTAAAAGGAGCAGTGTCATTGTCCACAGTGAAACGTATTCTGTGCCAACATGGACTGAAAGGCCACACGGTGAGAAGGAAGACATTACTTGAAAAGAAACATAGAAAAGCCAGACTGCAGTTTGCAAATCCACACAGACAAAGACAGAGTAAAAGATTCATGTACTGCTGATTGTATCAGATTTCTTCGATGATTATCCTAATTTCGGATCATGAAACTGTTTAGGATCACGTGCGTCACCTTGTGATAGGAACAGAGCAAGAACACAGGCTCACAGACACGTATGACGGAACTGTTTTGTATATTCAAACATTTCTACCTCACCAGCTCATCCATCTGTAACAAATCAAGGCCTTCCAGCAAGTCACAATCCAGAACACTCAGCGTTGTTACCAGGGGCAACACGTTTGCCCAGATTCACAGCAAGTAAATAAAATCGTTGTTGATTTTTGTCAGGGCTACACTCACCTTGTTCAGTGCAAATAGCAGTGCAGTAAATTGTGTCTACCTCCTGTCATACAACACCAGGCTGTTTGTTTAGTAGTCAGGAGAGATAACATCACTGCATGGACTCTTTTCAAGTGAGAATGTGTGGAGTAGCTATGAGCTGTCTGCATGTTACCCTTTTCAAGTGAGAATGTGTGGAGTAGCTATGAGCTGTCTGCATGTTACCCTTAATTTGAGTAAATTGGGAGGCATTCTCATAAAGAAGAGAAAATAATAGCTGCTTTGGACAACTTTTTCAGCATTTTATTTTTAAAAAATCAATACTCAGAGGGATTTGTGGTATTTTATCACATTTCTCTTGTTGAATCTATCAATATACAAATAAGAGGAATTTGAGAAAGTTCAGGTATTTACAACCAAGTGAACACATAATCCCCACAGAAAATTTATTGAATATCTAAGAGGAAGTTGCGTCATTCAGGGCCAATGAAATGCCTTTTATGGATTTTCTCCTAATTGTAAAATGTTTAACCTTCAAATAATATTTTGCTTTTTGTTTGTTTTCCAAATGTCCACATATTGATCAATGTGTGTTAAATATTTGTTCCTTGAACACATCGAACTTTATGAGGTGACGATCAGCTACAAAGACTGTAACTTGTGTGAAAATACAAAGTCAAATAAATCAAAATACCTTCAGAAAACTATTGATCAAGACCGAGACTTTAAAAACATTCAAAGAACGTTTGGCTCCTTAGAAAGAAAGGCTGAAGGTACAAAGCTGTGAAATCTGTTAAATGACAACAGTCACTGTAATATTAAGGTGTAAAATATTACCTTGTTGCAATATTTGGTAGAATAAATATTGCAGGCACCATGGAATTAAGTTATCTTTAAAAATATGTGTAGCCAGATGGACTTTTCACTTTCCATTCTGTCTTCTCTAGATATAGTTCTTAGCTCAGATAGAGTTTTGTTGACATTCAGAGGATGGAAAAGAAAGAGAATAGTGAGGAAAAAAGGGTGATAACAATCAACTTCACCAATATTCAACCATAATATATATGGTGCAACACAGGTAGGGTTCATCCAACCGTGACAAGAAGTAATAAATTATCTTCCTGACAGATACAGATCTGCTATCTGTGGTGTGATTCTTGCTTCAGGTACCCTTCGACCTGTTCGACGTAGCTTCTACGATCCCACCACAGCACCAGGCCAAGGCTGGTTGTGGGAGTGGGAGAACGACGCTGGCAGTTGGACAGCATACGACACAGAGGTGGGCATCGCCATCCAGGCAGCTCGTGATCGTCAGCAGCCCTGGCTGGACCTGGCGCCGCTGGGGTTTTGCTACCTGATTGACTTTGAAAGCATGACCCAAATCAATGGGCAGACGCAGCGCTGCCGACGGATCCAGAGACGCGCCGATCTGGCATACCCACTGGTGTCTGGACCCTTACCCAGATCCCACCACGCATGGGGACCCGCGTCTATGCCCGGCTATGGAGGACTGCTCGGCGTTGACGTTTCCGGTGTAGGCATGGGGATGAGGATGAGCAGCGGTGGGATTGGGAATGGGAGCGCTTACCCAAGCGGGGCACTCCCCGCTTCGGCAATCACTTCTTTGGGACAACCCTGCGCCTGTCAGCAGTGTATGTTGGTGCTAAGTCTCAAAGCAGGAACAATGTCGACTGCCCACACTCTGGGCCGAAGACCA